TTAGTACAAGTAAGTAAGTTAGTGAAAGTAAAAAAGTGAAGAATGAGTATGTGCAAGTTTAGCAGTAATGGTTGATTTCTCTAATGAAAGTATCACAGCTTGTAATAATAGAGATAGAGGAGAATATTTTTTTTTTGTCAAAAGGTGTTCTAAAGTAATTGATCCAATCTGTGTGGACTTTGACGAAAAGGAGATAATTATTTAAAGCTCTGGATACAACTGTGGTAATTAACCAACAGTCATTGTGGTGATTTTAAAATGAGTATCACAGCCTTGTATTGTAATAACAGAGTAGAGAAGAAGAATTTATTTTTCAAAGGGCGTTGTAATTGAACTTGCCTGTGTAGACTTGGACAAAAAAGAGAAAATAATTTAAAGCTCTATATACAACTGTTATAACTAACAGTGTAACAAAGTTTTGTACATACGTTTACTTGTTTTTAATATGTTATTTTAAAACATGTAGATTGAGTGTTGGCCATTTATTGTTAAAATGTATTTCCAACAAGTCACAGACACCAACTTTTAAGAATACTGGCCTAATAAAACTTGACACACTCCACTAGCATCAGAAAAACACAAGCACACATAAGCTCCTTTATATATTGCAGTAGTATCAATAAAATATAAAACACACAAAGCCAGTATATATTGCAGCAGCATCAACAATCTACAAACATACACAGAAGATGCCTGTATATGTTGCAGTATCAACAAAATACAAGCATACAGAAACTAAGCACTACACTAATACAAACTAAATCCTTAACTGGACATAAAATGTATGTGGTTGGTGCTACTGCAGGTTGTAGAATTTCCTGTATAGTGTTTCACTAGTACTAGTAGCACAGAATTGTACTCTGTTTCTTTACACCACTGTTCTAATAGCATGCAAGTTTAATGTATTCAGTGTTTCATAGTTCAGTGATTAAGGACACACTACCTAAAAGAGTATTTTGCTAATGGGGTTCAATACATTATAAAATAACTTTTGGTGTTTTTACATTTTACAAAGAAAAATTTACAGTGGAACATGCAAGTTATATTACACATAGTTGATGACATAAAAAAAAAGACAATACATTCTTTTTAATTGATAAACATGTGAATATCAGTACACAGTTTGCTGAACAACCAAACATTTTTAGCTTAAAAAAGGATGTATCAACTAGATGTTTAGTTATTTTATTTATTAGTTCTTTGAATTTAAAAAATGTTGAAGAAGATTACTACAGGTTAATCATGAACATATGTACATAATAATTAATTATACATTTAACCACCTTTTGAATAAGGTCCAATAAAACAATTTTTTCTGAAATGCCAAAAACAGTGAGTTCAACTTTTACAAATATTTAAATTGTAATGAACATTACAATTTTCTTGCTGTATTATGCAAGAATGAGTTTAGTCAGATGTAGTATTGAAACACAGGAATGCATACAGATCATTTTTGGTATGACTGTTGATGTCTTCTTTATATTTTTGGTAAGAAGATGTTTAAAAGCTCAATGTGTCTTTTGTTCTAGCAGTATCTGTTAGGTTAGAGCTCTGACTGTACATGATGGTGAAGAAATACCTTAAAAATACTGAAGTATTCTCGGTTACTAACAGCAAACTTTGTATGATTTTTCCTTACGTATTCAGAAAAATACTTTATATTATAATACCTCACTATCAAATGGTCATTGGACAACCTCATAATACAAGTCATCCCTTATTAAAACAGAATCATAGTAATAGATTAACTAATAAAAAAAAGAAAGGTGTGAGGGATTCATTTCTGTAAAATTTTATTAAATAGTGTCTTAATTTGAATATTTTTACAGCAAAACCTAATTGATATTGGTTTATGTTTGCTTAAAATTCTGAATACATATGTATGGTGTTACGTAGAATTGACTATTACTTGCTACTAACCAACATCTCATTAGTGTAATCTAAGTATGGTTGGTTAAACTTGAGTAAACATACAAAATAAAAACAAATGTATTAACAATTCTTTTGAAAAAAGTGTACACACAGATACCTCTTGCATAGCTCACTTTATTGTTTTGCTTTCTTCTTAGTGACCCAGATAGCAGATGAACTAAAATAAATACTGAAGTTAAATATATAAAAGCTAAAGCTAAGGTAAAGAGTACCTCTCTGACAAAGGCCTCAAGCTATAGCCACAAAAAAAGTGTGACTTTACAATTGCTGAATACTCATCTGTTTTGATAGAAGTGAATCAAAGAACTAGCTACAAACATGTCATTAAAGTTTTCATGAAATATGCAAGATAAGTATAAATAGCTTACCATACTAAGAGTGTACAAGCACAAGAGTTAATGCTCTTTGATGAGTAAATATATGTGAATGTCTACAGTCATAGTTCTCAATCAGCATGGTACAATTTTCCTCAGTAACAGATGCAGTGAACATACTAAATAAAGCATACAACAGATTTCTAAATAATTATCCATGTATGATTTCTGATCATAGTCTTAATATTTGTAGTCAGTCACAAAATTAAATATAATTATGAAATACTGTAAAACATATCTCACAAGAACTCATAGTAACAAATAATTTTCTTTACAGTGAATTAACTAAGTAATAGACAACAGCAATTATGTCATTGCTATGTTTTTCAAATTCACTCCTAAACTTTTATTAAGAAAACTTAGGTCCAAATGTAAAGCAACTTATTAACAGTAAAATTTATTCTAACATTTCCATTACATTTGTAGTTACAAGCTTCGTAGATATGATCACATTTTACTTGGAATAAATAATTCAATAAATTTTCTTAGTCTGTTAAGTGTTCACAAACAACACACATGATGAAGAACTCTCTATCAGCTCAAGCCTAACCTAAAGGCTTTCTGGTATATTTTACTTTCAATACCAAATACATCTTAGGCACAATTTAGTGTAGAAATTTCTACAATATTAATAATTTGTAAACCACTGATGACATTCAACAATTGGTAAATCATATTTTTATGGTCTTTTCCTATCTTAAGCCTTATCTAAAGACTTTTGTCACATATATTTGACATCCATACCAAATACATCTTGAAAGTTCACAGAATTTTTCAATTTGTAAACCCTTGATAACATTCACTAAATAGTATATTTATATGGAATTTCATTTAGTAACAATATGACTTTTATATTTATAAGGAAACAGTGCCTTTTTGTGAACTTTCATACCATTTACTTTCATTAAAGATGCTGTTATTTTGTATAACCTTGACATATTAGACATCTTGAAGAACTTTGTTCAGTTATAAATTTTTTGAGTAAGAAAAAGAATCAAATATGAAATTTAAGCAATTTTTTTTCTAGATTGCCTAAGGTTAAGCTGCATAAACCTATATTGCATCACTCATTTTACTTACGTTTTACCATATTACGTAACAATATTAAGAAAAAGGAAACAAATGAAATTAAAGGTTTTTACAAGTATTTAAAACATAAAAAACTGTAACATGTTTTTCTCAAACATAAATGTGTAAACGCCCCCCGGTGGCACAGCGGTATGTCTACGGACTTACAATGCTAGAATCCGGGTTTCAATACCCGTGGTGGGCAGAGCACAGATAGCCCATTGTGTAGCTTTGTGCTTAATTACAAATAAACAAACAAATGTGTAAACTATAGGTTACTTTACTGACAGGTAGTCAGAATTTTTCAAATAATATTGAAGTTAACAAAAACAATAACTCACTTAAGAAATAATAGCAAGTTTACTTATATAGTACAAACAAACATCTTGTGACTAACAGTGGAGGAAACTAGTCAAATTTGGTCAAACAATTTCACATAAATGTGTAACATTTCATATAAAAATTGAGCGATTTCTTAAATTCCATAATGTGGAGTCAAAAGCAGAGCCCAGCTGAATCACCAAATGAGTAGAGAATAAGAGGAAGTATAATTGATTCACAAAATAAAAAAGCTACAAACTACAGACATTTTATGTCATGTTTGCAAGACCTTAAAATCCTTTATCTGCTCATTCACAGGTAGTTTACATTAAAGAAATAATACTTGTATATAGGATAGTACAACATAACTGTATTAATTAAAAGTAATAAAAACTATTCTATCAGTTCCATTCTTCTAAACTGTCTACTATTATAGCCTACTCTACAGAGAATTTATTACGAGATAAGGAGATTCTCTTTAAGAAAGTTTGAAATATGAATTGTACAAAGACTAACAATATTAAGAATCCTGGCTTACTTGCATGGAGAATAGATATAATGTTGACATCATAATGATTCACCAGAATTTTATTTTACACAAGGATTCTACTTTGTAACTACTATTACTATTACATCAAGATACAGTGCATCATAGCTTGGAAGTTTAGCAAAATAATAACTTGTTGTATTGAATACTTAGCTTTTCTGATGTTTAACATTTGTCTTCAGGATACTGTATAATATAGTTTAGAATATAGAATTTTGAAAAAAATGGTTGACTTTTATAGTAATTTAAGCTAACATATGTTATTTCCAGTAATTTAAACTATGATCCATTTCTTGTGCTTTGGTTTAACCAAATTTATCATGAGAAATTGGATAAGGAAGATAATAGTTCAAGTTTTTAATATTATATTGCCAGAAAGTGATGTACAAACATCAATAAATAAATACTGTACTAATTCTTTCTAAAAATGAGGTGTTTTAGAAAGGTTAAGTCAGTTGTTAATTTGTATATGAATTTTGTTACAATGAATGCATAGTTCATTTCAAATGTATCTCACTATTTATTACAACTTCGCTGGAGTTGGAAGAAATGTGTGTTAAATAAAAATAAACATTTCAGATCTTAAGATCATGGATCTGTTATTGCTCTAAGTTCAGTAAAGTGTAAGTGTTGCCGATATATCATCCTTTGTACTAGTGGTAGTTTTTTTTTTAACAAAATAAGATTCTCACATACTCTGATGCTAACATTTGTGTATGCCAGTGGACTAAAGTAGGTTATTTGTCTAAAGTTTGGGATGATTACTAAGTTATGATGCTTACTTTCATAAATCTAGTGATAAGATCTTTGTTGATTTAAAGCTAAGTAACAGAGAATGATTCATATATAATGACCAATGTGTTATTTCTTAAAACTATGAAATGACTGTTTTTACCAACCAACTTACAAAAGTTGAGAAACTTTATGGGTTTTAGTTACAGGTGCCCCTGAATAGTGGGCTGTTTTATTGTATAGCATGAAATGAATGATATCTCTACATTTGCATCAAGTTGGTACTACAAGCTACAGAGAACAAGATGCTGGATAAGTTTCCTCAAATTAACAATGAATATGTTTCACTTGAATTTCATCCACTCTATACATGCTGCTCAATAATCTAATTAACTCACAAACAATATCAGTTCAATGGACTAACAGGTAAAATGGATGTCAGTCTTTCTTAAGAGCACTTAAGATTTATTATGTATAGTCTTGTTTTTTAGCATATTCAAACTTAATTTCAAAGATTCTATACATCTGCACTAACTAATCATAGAAAATAAAACATTAAAGATAAATCTCACTTACTATTAAGTACACCTTGTGGAATATGAAAACAAAAAACCAAGACTGGCAAATTACCAGCAGAACACGTAGTCATGTTAAAATCACAGCAATTTTCCCAAATTACCTTAAACATATAATGCTTTCTAACTATCAGTATTTGTCTATCAAGAAATGTTGTCTTCTAGACAAAAACAAAAGATCTAAATTTGTGCTTCATTATTTTGATTGTTAATAGAAAAGGCTATTAATACAAAATAGCCATTGTTGCTATTTGATCAAATAACAAGATCAGACACAATATACTGCAAAGATACAAAAAGAAAAATATGTTAAAATTAATTCATTTTTTCTAATACCAAGCTCTATATTTTGACCACTTCAGTATCTTTTACAATTTGACCACTTCATTATCTTATTTTGGAAAGAATTACCTGTAAAAATCTTTCCTGGGTCACCATGCAATTGACCTTTATTCAAAAATCATTTTATGTATCACAGACAATTTCTTCAAACATAGTAGAACCCTGAATGAGGCAATAAAGGAAAACAATTCCCTGAGTAACAAAGTGTAAAAAAACTACATAACAAAAAACAAGAACAATAAATGAAAATCATATCATATTAAAGAATGACATAGAAGAAAAGCAGATAGAATCAGTATTTCAGTGGTAGCAATAAGTGTTTCCATATACTACAGCTCATTGTACTATTAAGAAGAACAATATGAGAACATTATACAAAGAGACCTGATTTCTAAAATTAACAGCATGGTTAGCTTAATACAATGTAACTCCAATAAAACAGTGTATTTAACTAGATTTCAGATAATTAAAGTAATATCCACCATTAAGAACTTCCACTTCTTGTGCTCTCAACTGATTACCAACACACACCATCTATTCAGTTAATACAGATACTTTAAATAGATACTGCAGAGGTATACATAGTATTTTTGTAAACACTTACCAGCCCATCATAAAGAAGTATATAAATTTTAAATTTTGATTCTATATATACATGTCAAAAAAAACATTTTTTGAGTGATTTAAGTTTCTTTACATTATTATCAAGTGGTATACTAACCAGTATATAGTAAAAGCAATAACAGGAATTATGCCTTCAAGAAGACAGGACTTTTAAAAAACAGCTCGGGATAAACTTCATTTGTTTAAACAATTTGCTGTAGAAAAATAAATACAACTGCAAATAAACTATACAAAATTATTTACACATCTGAGGACTTGGAGTCTCGCCTTGAACCGTAGCTGACAGACCATGACTTATCACTACCAGATGGCTGGGCTTCAGTCTCTCTGACAGATGAGAACAACAAGCTGCCAGTTTGTTCTTCATTCTTACGAGTTTGGAAATCAATTGGAATTGAAATGTACTTGACAGGCTTTCCATTTATAAACCAGTGCTAAAATATTATATACAAATTTACTGTTAGTAATTGATATAATAATAGGTAAGAGAGAGTATATTTTGCTCAAAGAAAACATTTGCAGTTATTGATTTATTTTGGACTTAAAGATCATTTAAATGTGCTGTTTACTAATTTTTTCAGCAAGTGTGAAACAATATTTTAGTTTTTTCAGGCATGTTTTATAACAGTTAGTGGCTGTTACGAATTTGAAACAGTATTGCCAATAAATCAGCATGCATATATGTACAGCAGCACTCCATGTTTTAAAGTATAAAGGAGTTGTGCACCTGCTGGTGGTAGTAGTTTCGTATGGTGTTTCTCACACCCCCAAATTCTTTTGGAGGTGAGTATCTGGGAGTAGGACTGATGTCCTAGTTCAAACACCGGGTGAGCATGTTTTGATGTGATAGGGAATCAAACCCGTGACCCTCAGATTGCGAGTCGAGCACCCTAACCACCTGGCCATGCTGGGGACCTGCTGGTGGTGTTAGAATTAGAGTGTGACTGGTTTATATTTATTTTAATCCCTAGTTTCCAGGGAAAAACTTGAAAACAGCAAATTAGCATGATTTTTATCTAAAATGAGTAAAAATTCCATAATCTGTATAATATATAAACTTTACTAATGAAGCAGAGATAGAAGCAAGAAGTCTGGGTAATGTTTTCATTTCTTTAGCATATTGTTGAAAGAAAAGAAACAGCTTTGCTAAATACAGCCATTGATAGCAAAACCATTTTTAGAGTGGAGGTACTGGATAATTATGTTTTCATCTTTAAAACTGATTTTAACATTTCCATATACAAAACATTCAGAAGCCAATTCTGAAAGTGTGAAATTCGTGGAAATAGCAAAGCAAGTCACTGTTCACATTGGAATGTATTATGTTAGCCAAACTGCATACAACTAAATTTCTTGATTATGTATAGAAAATAAACTAAATTTTCAGGGCAATATGTTATTTATATTTTTTTATTTTCTAGTTACACATCTTTCTTTCCTTCCTTCCATTAATTTCGATATTCAATCAATATACTACAACATATGTATTTGGTACCTTCAATAGAAAAATGCTATGCAACATATTTCATGAGACCTAAAATTTCTTTAAATAAGATGATGGGCTTAACATAAGGTATCAACACATTCTCGTATAACAAGCAAGTTTCATAAATGAACTTTAATTTTAACTTGTACTTGCATAGTGTTGTTTTGTAGTATGGATTTATTCCATATCTTAATAAAAAAAGACCAAGAACACTTGTTTTTTATCATTCCTTCTTAAGTTATGAACTTACAATACCAACACACCTGTCTTTGTCCAGAAGGTTGTGAGAAGCTACGAAGTGGATCGGGCACCCTATTACTCAAATCAGTAGGAGGCACGGTAGATGGCCGAGGTCTTTCAAACAACTCATCAGTAGAATTAGACTCTGGACTTGGCCATTGAATATCTTCTAAAACAGATTCTTCTAGTGACCTATGTATAGATCAGAACACTGGCATATAAATGTAATCATGTTCTATAGTTCACATTTATTTTAGGAATACTGCATACCTATATAAAAAATAAAACAGCAATTAAGCACATTGCTTAAGTTTTTCAAATAATGAGATTAAGTTTTACCAAAATTCTAGAACAAATAACCTAAAGTAAGCTTCTTGGTAACAAATTTTCCTTATGCTTGGCTCATCACTGAAAGTTCTACACATTCTTCTAGAAACAGGTATGACTGAACCAAAAAGAAATATTATCCTAAAATATTTTTGTATGTCCATCTTCACCTACAAAGATTTTTAAAAGCAAAATTTTTATCATAGTTACATCTACTAAATAAATGAGAGTGAAGAGCATTTCTGTTCAAGTTAGACTATAATATATATATTTATCTATAAACACACACTGTACTGAGTGAATGGAAAATATGTTAACAAAAGCAGGTTAAAATCTTAGATGTAATCTAACAATAGTTCTCCAAGTCAATTAGACCATGTATGGTATTCCACCGCCAGTAGACACACACATCTGACATTTCCTCAACTCTCTTGAAAATTTTAGAGAATAGTATTGTCATATTATGAATCAAATGCTGTTAACGTAATACAATATCTATAGAGATTCTGTAAGCATCAGAAGCTGTCAGGACAACAAGCAAATTTTTTGTCAAGATGGCACATATTTCGTAGGATAAATGTCAGAAGCATCAGATTCAAAGCTTACTTGCAAATGTAAGGTAGCAAGATGCTTGATGTGATATTAGTTCAGCAGATATAGATGCAAACATAATGGGAAACCAGTTACAGAGAAAGAAGCCAGAAAATAATTTACATTGGTGCTAATAAAAATGACAAACAGTCAAAGAGAAGCAAGTCTATCTACAGACTGGGTATGTCCACAAAATCCTCAGAAGACATAGTCAGCCATGGAAAGAACAGTGAATGTTTAACTTTGGTGAGCTACAAAACTATTTTATCCACAGAAAAACAACAGAGAAAAAGAATCATCAGCTCCTGCTCTACAGATCAATATATTTTATTCTAACTTTTCTGGATTTCCAGATCTTGTGTGGACCCTACTTTGTTACTAAAAATTACACAATTGGTTCAGTTTACTCAAAGATTTGTTGTTAAAAATATCTTAACTCTTGGTATTTGACAGAACAGAAAATGTTACATAAAGAAATAGAAACCTCTGAAAGTACAGTATAATCCATAAGACATGCAACAGCACAGCTGTCATAAATAAAGTTATCATCAACTTCTATTACTTTTGTACTTTATTGACAATATCTTTTAGTTAACAAGTTGTGCTCTTGTATGTAATTATTTTAAAATCTTTACTTGCAAATCTTTAGCAAAAAATATATTCAACTATTGCTAACTTGGTTGAAGATAAATTTAACTTCAAAGTACAGTAAAATTTTGGCCAAGAATTCATTACCATACACAAATCAGGTGGAAGCATATACTATACTATAAGAAATAATATGAAAACAAACTATACAGGGCAGGTAAAAAGTACAAAATATCACAACGATGGAACACCACAGTATGTCATTGTGAAATACTGGAAAACCCAGTAAAATTATGGGAAGGCAAATACTGCAAAATGAAACCATATACATTATACGAGTAAAATAATTAGTAATAGCATACTTTAGTGTAGGAGAGTCAGCAGGTGAAAGTTTTGAGGAATGCATGCATTTAATAATGGAGAATTTGTTTGTGAAGTTTTACATAATAAAGTGTTTAGATAGTAATCACATTAGTTTCCACCATTGTGTTTGTGCGGTTATTATGACTGTCACATTATATAAGAATTAATACACATAAATGCCTAAAGAGTGCTTATGAACTTCTGTATGACTAAAGCTTTATATGATGAAATACAATAGGGCTTAATAATGTTTGTGAACTTTCACATAATGGAAGTGTTAGGTGACTATATAAAATAGTGTTTGACCATGTTATTGTGAAGTTCCACATGATGAAAGAGCTAAACAACTACTTACAATAGTTTTTAATCGTGTTTTTGAAAAGAGTTAGTGTCAACATACAATAGTATATGATTTTTATTTGCTAGTTATGGCTTAACTACATTTTTAAAAACTTTTAAGTATTTTATTCTGTCTGTAAAAACCTTGATAGACATGTATTTCATGCTTTCAGCAACTTTTAATATCAAATAATTAGAATTTAGTTCAATATTAAATTATTACACTGAGCTGGTCAGTAATTTATGGATTATGGATTGCAGCTTAGAAATTATATTTTCATGTACTTATGTGATGCCACACTTTAACCACACTACATTGAAATAAAATCAATCACAGTTTAATTACATTATTTTAAAGATGCTGTGGTATTATTATGATACATATACGATTGCCTCAGCACAAAAATGTAACGATACAATCATGATATTACATGTACAACATACAGATTCCACTATGAATTTAAAACATTATTATAATATGCACTGACATCTAGAGGATGGGGTTTGTACATCTTACCCCCTGCTATTCTGCCCAGAAGTACCCTTTTCTCTAACATAAAAATAGCATATGTCCACAACTACTCAAATGTTTATAAGACCAATTTAAATAAAGGAATAAAGTAGGATGTTTACTTTTTACTTGTTAACATTCCATCCCTTCCCCCTAAAAACATTAGCCTTGCAATGATTGAAAAGTGCCATTTTTTCTTATGAGGCCCTGCCCTTTTGATGTTCTCTGCACATTACTGATTATATGACGACACTACTGTAGTATAACTGTTATATGGTCATGAAACTATCTCAGTATTTTTGTGGTATTACAATAATTCTTACAGTGACATACTAAAATAGTATCATGATAATTATCGCAATTGTTTTGCTGTATTTTGTTTTTCATCAGCTTACAAACCTTGTATTTGTCATATTCTAACTACAGTATTTTTACCATATTATAATTTTCTCACATACACAATAGTGATACTTCTATTATACTAAAATAGTACTAACATATTACACGCTTACTCAGCTAATTAATATACATAAGAAAACAAATTATTACTTTTCCTTAACCATCTTATTTCTAAAGCCTTTCTTATGTTCAGTAACTAATACCAAAGATTTTCCTTCCTTTCTTCATTTAACTAAAAAAAAAATTAATTGCATAACAATTATCATGTCTAATTTAGAAATAAAAAATGACAAGGCACAAGACAGATAAAAAAAGCACTAGTAAGTTCTAGGGGCATCTAGACACTTTACAAAAAAATGCATGTATGGTATCTGTATAAAAAAAACTACACTATTTCATTGTAATGACAAAAAATAGCCCACTGCTTCATGCTTAAGATAAACTACAATACATTCAAACTAATTTTATTAAGCAAGTAAAAAGCAAGAAAGCAGTAGCCTTGTCATGGCTCATAACAGCTACAGCCAAAGATTATTTTTCAACTTGTAATAGAACAAATCAGCATCTAATAAATCCTAAGCATTTTCTCAACCTATTTGTTATAATATATGGCACTACTCAGAATTTAATACACACAAAGTAGTCATGGCTACCTTCATTACATCTATTAGTGTCTAAGTGAACACGTATCAAGACAATACTACTCACCGACTAGTGTCTAGACTACGGGTAGGAAGTTTATACTTGAACTCCTTAGTAAAGGTTGGGGTATTTTGAAGACTTACGGCCCTTCTGAAGAATCGACTCCTGCCTCTCGTTAGGAGGTGACGACTTTGGAAAGAAGATGGCCGCTGGGTGGACCTTGTCTTTTCGGGAACAGGAGATCTAGACTGAATGCCTTCTGATGGCAGTAAGGTGGAGGGAATAGCACCAGCACAAGCAATCTGTGACAGAATATTCACCACATTCTGCATGTCTCTAGACAGACGACTTTCAATATTTTGTATCTGCCTGTGGAAAAGCAACAAAAAACTTGAATTCCAACAATTTCAGTGGTTTTGTTCTTGTCTCGGCTCACACACAGAAAAAGAAATATACTATACACTTTCAATAAAATAAAATTACCAGAAATCAACAGTAATTGCCTAACCCACAAATTAATTTGTTTTTATACTGTTCATTGCTAGTGGGGTCCACATTTTCAGCACATTAAATGATTATATGATATGGCCTATTACAACATGCAGTATAAAGAATCAGGCAAGAAAAATGGTTAAAATCATCCACTTTCTATGAAAGATACATAACAGAACCTCAGCAGTAATTTGTAAGACTAGTTGTAATATTGAGTGTATGTTTTTGTTCACCTTTCTTTTATACGATTCATATATTATTAAGGATCTTGTAACCAGCAAAGTCATGAACTCACAAGCATTTTGGCATATAAGTAGTTTCAAAACTGATAGGATAAAGACCTCATAAGAACTATTTTGGGGTTAAATCAGGAAGAAGAACACAAAATCTAAATATGATAGATAACCTATTTAAAACTGAAAATTCTGGTTAGTAAAGATATTTCAGATGTACTTAAAGACACATTAGCTTCCTCCTTTTTTTTAAAGAAGGATTTTGAAGTGAACGTACAAATGACCCTTCAATCATTAACCAAAGTTGAAGGTGAAAGTTGTAGATATTAAATTAATTTGATGGTATACAATAGACTAAGCTGTTCTGATAACAAATGATAATGAAATTTGTAGGAGAAGGGTACACTGCTGACCTTCAATGAAAAAGATTATTGTCATCTATAATATGTCTCAAGCAGAGAGGAAATGTACATACTTAAAATGTGGTGTCACAAATTCCTAAAACATATTCAAAAAGTCTTGTATGGATGACAGCCTAATGGTATCTAAGTATCATTTTTAGTTTAAAAACAAATAAATTATTATATTCTAGTAATTATTTATGAGCATGTCTTGAAAACAAAATCTCTAAAATTGACATGCTCATTGATATGAATGTCACATAAGTTTCTTCAGCTATGCATAAAGCTTTTAAAAAAAGGGATAATAAAATATAATAATAAACCACAAGACTTTTCCCAAGTCAGGTCTCTGAAAGCAAAGACTACAAAATAACACATAAGAAATACAAGATTGGCATTAAACTGTGAAAAAAACTATGATGGAGAATGGAGAAAAGTGACTTCAGAAACAAAGATACGTGATTTACAAAAAAAAAGACTGTAAACTTATTAGCAGACTCTACATACAGCTGAAGCTGACATAATCAGATTCACTATACTTACTATTAAGATTTGTCAATACTCTAAAATACTTTACAATACAATGGTATACTCAGATTACTAATATAATTGCATAAAAAATACAGACAAGAACTAAACATATTCAAAAGAAATCATACACTGTACAAAAGTATTATCTATTTGTAAAGCACATTATGTTATTACTGCTTTGATCTGGAGTGGAGAAGGTCTCTTCAAGCTGGATGCATTCAGTAATTTATTACTAAGCTTAACGTTATTCTAAACAAAAGAAAAATTAGGACTACAAACTGTCAGTGAGAAGAAATTGTCATAGATGTGAAACAAAGAGGAGAATTTCCTCTTAGTTTAAGGCCCCAATTCATGAAATGATCATGAAAACATTCTTCCCTGAGGAAGAATATAACAAGAAGTAAACAAATTAATAAAAGTTCAGACATTAAAAACAATATTGAAGGATATATCTGCTACGAATAAACATTTCCACAGATAGCAATGTTACAAAGGAACTTCTTTATGTCATAAGTTATTATGAAGTTTGATCCAATTCAAGCAAGTAGTTACTTTCACCACTTACTGAATATTACGTTAACTTATAATTAACTGTTAATTTTCTTGATCAAATTAACTATCATAATTCATGAACATATATTACTCTCGAACTGAAAAGTATAAAGACTGGAATCTCTAGCTCTGCCAAATATAAAAAAAGTACAAGATACAACAGTATTTTTTTAGACTAGACATAAAAATAACCCCAAATTTTCCTCATAACTAAGCCTACATCTACATTTATCCTCAGTCCAAAATCTGCATAAATAACTACAGGAGAAAAATCCATTTTGCCCTTCGAAAAATAAATGAAAATAAGCAGAAAAGCCCTTTATGCTGAATTAATATTTTGTGTAACTGGTAAAGGAAAAATACTGAAACTTGATGAAAGTTGAGAATAAGTATGTTTTATCAAAGAATTGAACTTTTATTATAAATTTTCTTTTTTCTGTTCTTTCTTGAACAAATATAATGCAAAATTTGTGTAGCACATCTTAAAATATCAGTACTAGAGAGATTTGAAATATTTTTTAAGTTGATGATGTTTTTATCATTAGAAAATATACATAAGAAAAATTAAACTGAAAACCTAATGGTGAAGCCTACTCAAAGCTATGGGTTATAGAGATGGCAGCAAATGACAAAGGTAAGTTACGATAAAGATAAATGTTGTATATTCAAAAATGACTTTTACAGATGGTTCCTAGATCCATGTATGCAGAAAAAAGAAACATTATTTCTATCTATTATATAAATCTACTACATAATAGCCAAATGGTTACTTAATTTCATGTTGTAACAGGATTTTATACTTTCTTGGCATAACCAATCATCTTCAGACTTTACCTTTCCTACAATATTGGCCAGGTGGTTAAGGCACACGACTCGCAATCTGAGGGTCACGGGTTCGAATCCCCATCACAACAAACATGCTCGCCCTTTCAGCCATGGGGGCGTTATAATGTGACAGTCAATCCCACTATTCGTTGGTAAAAGAGTAGCCCAAGAGTTGGCGGTGGGTGGTGATGACTAGCTGCCTTCCCTCTAGTCTTACGTTCCTAAATTAGGGATGGCTAGCGCAGATAGCCCTCGTGTAGCTTTGCGCGAAATTCAAAAAACAAACAAATCCTACATTATTCATAATTTTTCAGTACACCTTAGCAATGAAACCCAATAAACAAAAGCAAAGTCTACCATTCAAGTGATGGATGTAGGAAAGAGGGAGATAGCCAATGGGATGCAAGAGGTGAGTGCTTATTCAAGATATATATTTCTTCAAACATGTAGTATTTGAACATATACTTACTCCAAGTATCACTTTGTGTTAGAATCTTCACACTGAAGAGAAAAGAACAACTACAAAAGGTCAAACACAAAGTGGCAGATGTGTATGATATCTTCTGAAAATGAAAATACATTATATATCACCATGGTCCACAATGACTGTACAACTTTGACACACATAACCAGTTTTCTGCCCAGTCAAAGAGTGGAGAGATGGTAGTAGGTAATTCTCTGTCTGTACCAGTCAGTACGATATGCATAACCACAGGTCAAATAGTAGTTATCCATGGCAGGCTTAAACTCATGGTCTACAGTATTCTGTATCATCAGTAAACTACAAGGGAAAAAATTAAAAAGGCTACATGAAATATGGCAGGAGTGCTAGAAGCCTGATGAAAACCTAACTCAACTGTATGGAGATATCAGACACAAAGAAAGGAGTGGGACTGAAAGAAACAAGGTTGGAACCCATACAAATGAAAACCCTCTACACTCAAGAGAGAAGCAGAGTGACAGTTGGGCACCAATGTATGGATGGTTAAAAGTTATGAGAACAAGGCAATAATAACAGAATTGCAACACTGAGGTAATAAACAGGCCATACTCACTTTTGATCAGAAGTTATCTTGGTGAAAATATAGTGTATGGACAGAAGAAGAACAAGCAAAAGGAAATTAATAGTAGTATAGGGTACAGCAACCATGAGGTGTATACATCAATGAGTCAGCAAGGAGGGGAATACCTGCACCTCCAATCTCCACCAGAATTAGCTACACATTTGAACTTAGCCAGCATCTAATCAAAGAACAAGGCATAAGATGGATGATCAGCATGCATCACATAATAAATACATTCAAGGCATGCAATATGAAACTAAGGCATAAAAAATAGTTGCAGTTTAAACCTACCTTGACTTATAAATACAGAAAATAAGTAAATTCCAGCAGTGGAGGAAATGACCAGAAGGTGAATATCAAGATTTGGTGGGGGTCATTCACATATCAACTGGAAAATGTTCTTTAGACTTATACACATAATATTGGACCTGATGAGCTGAGAACAAGAATCCCTACCAAAGATCAGCAGAAGCTAAGTAGTGTACAGTAATGACATGATGTACATATAATCTATGTGATATCATGAACTAGATTCATTAACCTGCTTGGATCATCAGTCATATTCCCTGTCAGCAAGAATGACGAAAAACTGGTGAGAAAGCAATACCCTCCTTCTGAACGGCTCAAGTCTTGGGGAGAAGTGTGCAATCAAGATAGAAAAAAAGTTTATTCCCCCAAGGAGCCCATCAAATAGTTAATGGTATAGACATCAGATCAATGATGTCCTGAGGCTAGGTGAAGAAAAAAAAAGATTTCAGGCAGTAAGAGGGCAAAATGTTATTAATTCCAAAGATATAAAAGATGGTAGTTATAGAACCTTAAGGAGAAACTTAATGTCCCACTCTGAAAACTCAAAGTATCTTTTTTTAATCTTAAAGGACATTAAAAGTTGAAAAAAATGAAATAATGAAAAGTGAAGTGGCCAGATACCCCACAATATCAGATAAGGAAAGTTGATGGTCATAAAATGGTAAGTTAGTTGAGCTGTTGAAGTAGGCAAAAGATTGATGGAGCATATCTGTCAATAACATCTAAAAATCTATCACTTAATATTGCAATCATGAACAACCTACACAAGGTTAGTATGCGAGTACCTATAGAACCAAGGAATCTTGACCAAAAGAACAACAGAATGCAAAACCTTAACCCTGGTTTAAATGGAAAGAGAGTTCCTTTAAGAATGGTTACATCAAAGTGAAGGAAGACCAATGCATGCTGAAGGTGGATGAAAGAACCACTCAAACCTGGCAGAGCTAGTGACTCTGTCTGGGTGAAGAAAAGAGATAAGTTCAGCAGAAAAAGTGGATCAAAACTGGCATGAATTTTTTAATTGAAAACAATGTATCAAATTATACCAGAGTGTTCAATTACAGAAGAAGCCAGCACCTGAGGGAAGCTCTGATGATAAGAAATATCATCAGACTACTCAAGGGCCTCAGTCAAAGACTCAAATGCCATTAGATGTGGAAAAAATCACTTCTATAAAGTTCTTGTTGGTTGTGGGAGAGAAAATGCATATGGTTCAAAACAGTGTCACAATAACATAAATAAATGAGATAAGCATACCAAAATACAAATAAACAACAGCATTAACAAGGCAGTCAGAAAGCATTTCAGGACTGTTAGAATGGAAAGTCATTCTCTTTGTGTAAACCACTAGATCATCTCATCTATTTAAGTCCTCTATGGAAAACTGTGCAAAAGTCATTGGATGAAATAGATTACACCACTGACAGTCTAATACAATTAAAGCACCCTGAAATATACTGATGGAATTAAGATTAGAGGTGCTCTGCTGAAATAAATGGAAGTAAAAATACCTGTATTCCCCTCCTTCTTCTTTAAAAGTGTATGTTCCAACTAAATTTAATGAGTGGTATCACATGCATTCAAACCCAGTTTTCCAGCTCTTAAATCCCGAGCTTTACCACAGGGCTAACCCACACCCATATTGCAGTAAAACTCATAGTTATCTAATGTAATCTATGGGAACTGTATAACATATGTACAGGAAGCTGCAAAACTATACTGCATATTTACCATATTAAACTTGTATATAGGGAGAAGTTCTTGATAGTTTTGAAGTGTCAAAATTGTTTCATAGAGAATATTTACCTTTAAACTTTCATACCTGTCAGGGGTTGGGGTCTCAATAATTTACTTCTATATTATAGTTATTTGCTTTTGTAAATATTCAAAGTTAACTGGAATAAGTAGTGTGTCTTGAGTATGTTATGTGCTACTGCTTCCATACTGCTCAGAACTTAATAAACTCTTTTTCTTTTTATGAGTTTAGAGTCTGAAAAATAAACTAATCAGTCAAAGTCACTGTAAAACAAAAATGATCATTGCACCAGCACGGAGAATTACCATTGCCAAGTGGTCTGTCTTCATCCTTTTTGAGTGTTTGGATGCTTCTATGATCCCATTTACAAGTAAGCCTAGCATATCTTGATAAACTTACATAATATAAGTCACCTACACACAGGTGAGATTATTGCTGAGAAACTTTCATGCAGTCTAAGGCAGTGGCAATTGCTATGAAAAAAGTATTACTAATCTTAAAAGACAAATAGGAGAAATATGATCAGTTCTGATAAATGCGTGTCATATAGTGATGATGAGTCTTCAATTGACTACAATTTAGAAAACAAACGTGATAACATAATTATACAATTATGAAGTGCCAGGAGAATTTTCACAACTTCCACACCTTTGCACATACATTATGGCTCATCTTTAAAAGGCTTGAGAAGAATGCAAGTTGCATATATCTTTTTGAGTAAGGCGAAACAGCTTGTGGAAAACCTCACAATATCAGCAACTGCTACACATGAACTTATCGAAGAATGTGGCAAATCACAATAAGAAATAATTCATCATTTCTAAATTTGACAGCTACTAAAGGTCAAAGCAGCAATGAATAAAAAAATGCATCATACAAACATGGTTATGATTCTTTGTTGGCTGGTGAATGGTCCATACTTGAAGATGCAAGTCATCCAATGCAACCATTTACAAAGCATATTAACCTTCTACAGTTTTGCTGGCTCCTTCAAATATGCTGTCAAAAATAATGGATTTTGAATGTCACTTGCAGGACGTCAGTCACAGCAACACGTACACTTTCTCAGAGTTTGCTGTCTGTACACATGCGATTTTATCTAATTCTAATGCCCACTTGCACTGAATTTCAAGTCCTACAAGTTTAAACCTGTTTGGTGAATCCATCAGTAGCACAATTACTTTTTAACTTAGAAATGAAAGAGATGCTGAATGCTACAAAAACTTACATAAAATGTCAAGTAGCTGTTCATTCACCATAAAAAGTTCAAATAACAATAACAACAAGTCATCTGCTTCAGTTCCTCTAACATTAAAAAAATCCAGCTTTCTAGCCAGGAAGTTGTAGAAGTGAATTAGAGAAATATATTACTGAGTGCAAAAGCCAGTACTGTGACATGAATCTTCTCACATTTTAGCTGGAACAAGAAAAAAAGCTACCCCAAAATCTCTAAGCTGGACCAAGACTCAGTTGTAATAACCTCTCAAGAATATTTTGGAGCTCATTTTTTCTTTTTTGTGGAAATTTGATAGTAAGAAAAAAAAACAGGGCTGCATCACCCTTTGAAACCAGGGTCTTAATGAAGTTAAACCACAATGTTTTAAAGTTCTTTGTACATTATCCTGGTTATTTTTAGGCATTGTCCCCCAAAGCCTACTGAATGAAGAAGACTGCACTGCATAAAAAACTTATTACTGCAACTTTAAGCAAAACCTTAAACTTGTTCACTAAATGAATGTAATATACTGCATGACCTTGAGAAAATCTATTAAAATGGAAGTTTTCAAAAGTGAAGTTAAGAAAAATAGTGCTGAATTAACATGATTCTTTGTTTAGTCAAGTGAAATTGAATAATAATAAGAAAACGATTTTACAAAACAAAATAATAAAAACCTTAACCATGAAATAGAAACTTAAATGTGATGTTACAACTAAAAAAACAATGCAAATTAGTAAATTTTGGTAAACTCTCTAGCAATACCTTTCATATAGATGTTTTTCATGTTAGTTCCAAGTCTTCATGTAACTCAATATATACAACATATACAAGTATTAGCTTTTTAAATTAATTATCCTAACATTTTCCCAATGTATATTTAGAAAACCATGTTTGCTAAATAATGTATGATGAAATTTATGTTGAAGACAGTTATCTTATGGTTTTTATTTAAATTATAAAATATTACCACTAAATGCCTATCAAGCTCCATGTAAACTTCTAAAACAAAACAATCTGTCAAAAAGAAAACCTAATGACATTCTTGTCATAAGGAGTCTCCAATATGGTAAAGAAAAATATAATCAAGATTTATCAAGTTGAAAGGGGGAGCAAGGAAAATGTTTATAATAAAATATATTGGTAGGTAATCCAGTTAATTGCAAGGTGTAAAAAACAAACAAACATAATATATATATATATCTGAAATAGCTGCCACAAACATATGACAAGCAGTGATTTCTTATGCTTTCTTTATTTTCAGAACTCAATAAGTTACACTTTTCATCATGTATCTACATTAATAAGATCTCACCAAAGGTAATCATTTGATAACATTACAATAAATGTCCAGTAAAATATTCATTGTTTTCAACAACCTACCTACTGAGTATATCTATCCTAGATTCTAAGGTCTCCAGGTCTCCATGACCTGGAGGAGGAGGGAAGTACTGGGAGGAAGGAAAGGTTGCTTCCTCCTCTGGGGAGTGTTGGCTGCCAGGGCTGGATGAGGACATAGGTATAGTCATACTAGAGCTAGATTTAGGTATACTGCTAGATGAAGTCTGTTGTTGGGTACTAGTAGAACTAAAGCCCAGTCTCCCTGGTCCTGATCTAGATCTAGGCGTAACAAGCTGTGTTGGAGCCTGGCTACTACCACTAGAGGTAAGGTGAGGGACACATGCTAATGGAGCAGAGGATCTTAATGTTGTGGAAATGGGACTGGAAACTGATAGAACAGCTTCAGACACTGCAAAAACAACCATAATTTATACCATCCTATATTAACAAATGATGATCAAAATAAAATCTTTCATTAGAATATATGTAATATATACATAAGCAATTATATTATTAAAAGTTACAGTTCAAATGTTGAAAGACGATGAAGCATTATAAACCAACAGGCATAAAATTTGTGAGAAAAATTACATAAGTTGCAAATTTCTCCATATTCATCTTAATTTCCCTATTTCAGATTCAAAATCGGAGGGATACAAACATAGTAGCACTTGAGATCCATCACAAGCCATTGTCAGTTGGGCTGAATAATGAGAGACAAAAGTTTTTCTGATATGCTATTTATATATGCAATATAATAATTTAAAAGTTATAGTTTAAATGCTGAGGGTTGGCCAAGCCTTAGAAATCAATGGGGCCAAAAACTGTGATAAAAATCAGGTAAATTATTGATTTTTCCACATTCATCTTAATTTGTCCATTTTGGATGAGTTCTGGTGTTTAGCAAGGGAAGAGGCTTCTTGGGCATTGGCTTGTGGTGGGACAAAAGATGGATCTGAAGTGTTAGACATACATGCCTCTGATTTTGAATCTAAAATGGACATATTAAGAGGAATGTGGGAAAAACAAACATCTGTCTGCAGTTTATGTGATTTTTATTGGAAGTTTCAGATGTACTGATAATTACATTATTAGTTTAACAAATTATGTAGTAGAATTTCGTACTGCCATATTATTTATAACATAAAAAGCTAGATAATTCCAATACTATCATTGAAATTAAATACTGCTTCTTACGGTTTCAATGTCATCCTTACAAAACTAAAAATAAATTATATATATATATATACATGTAATTTTTATGGCATCCTGAAAAAATAAAAAATAATTATTATTATTAGGAATACAGAGATACACGATTTTCTAATTTTTTTTTATGAAATAAATGCTGTTACTGTGTGCTGTAAACTCTCAGAATTAAAGCTTCAATGGTGACTAACCTAGGTATTAGTGAGAAACAAAATCCTCCATACTTACTTGGTTCAGCCATTTCTAAAAGTGGAGTCTTTTCTCGATTCCCCTTATTCATTAAATCTTCACAAGAAATGGGTTGCAAAGATTCTGATCCTCTTTTCCCATTTTCATGTTCCCCTTTTTTATTGGTGGAAGGGCCGGTAAAAGGGGAGGGGGAATCTCCTCTTCCTTTATGCACCAAACTATTGATGTTTGTTTTATTTGTTAAAACACCTGTTGTTAAGAATTTTAGAAAACAAATTTGCATAAAAACAATAATAGATTCAAAGTCAATAAAAAAATTGGTCTTCAAGCCCATGGTCATGATTATTGCAGAACAAAAGCTCTTAATTGTTATACAAACATACTGTGACATATAAGTGGAATTCAAAACAATATGTAAAACAGAATTAGCTGTGGAACAATAAACAAGTATGGAGTATTAATAATATGTTTAAAGCTTTTTATATACTGAAGACACTGAAATAAACATCACTAAAACAGTATAAAATTTCCTAAAGCACTTAGACTGAGTTATACTTTTTTGTAACAGTAATCGTTCTTACAATTCTCTATAGCTCATACTGTCTGATGCTGGCCACTTTAGTATCAAGTTTTTCCAAGGTTTGGAGATTATAATTTCTTTCTGAAACTCATCATAATTACCACAAAACACACTTTTGAAATTAATCGTAATGATCATTGTGCACTTCCTTTGGAGCTAATCAGACTAAAACTATTTTTGGAGTAAATCATAATAGTCATTCCCTCTTCTGAGTATGCTAATCTTTATGATATTTAATAAAGTTATAAGAACAAATCAGTGAAAACGATAAAATCTTTAAAATATTCAAAATATCCTCATTAATAATCTGTAAGCTAATTAAGATCAGGCTTTTACAATTAACAAGTAGTCATTATTTTACAAGTTTGATTTTAATTTTTTGGTTTTGAATGTAAATTACATCCGCCTCTGTATAATTCTAAAATCATAGCTGCTCCATACAACAGAATAAACTTACCTATTCCTTCCTCAGACTTTGTTTTCCTTAAGTCTGTTATACTTCGTTTGATTTGGTTGAATAAACCTGTTAGGAATAACACTTAGTTTTCCAATTATTTTTCTTTAAATGGTTTATAGCCTTCAAATATCATTTTTACTCTTTCCTAATTATAACAGTTTAAAGAAATGAGCATTTTTTGCTTAGCTAAAATTGACCAAGAAGTTAAAACTAATATTAAACAAAAGATAAAGAACTGGAACATAATGCCAAGTACTACAATAATTAAAATAACTGAATAAATGCAGAATCAATCCAAATGATTCAAATCATTACAAAATTATTTTATATAAGCAAACCCTATGTTACATGACACTCTCAAAAAGTGTCTATATTATATGATTAATATGACCTACTATTTTATATTAACTCTTCATTGGAATAGCACTCATCTTCTGCTTTAGTATTGGGTTTGAGGTTAATACTTAAAAATTCAAGGACATAAGTTGAAGATTATCAAGGGTATTTAAAGCTACACAGAAGCACCAAAACATTAGTACCATATCACATCACATTCAGTCAATATTGAATTTATGCTGCTAACATTAATGTTTTCCTAAACTGAAAATGTATTTCCTATAGATACATACCTCCTGTCACATAATAGCCTTTCTCAATTATCACTGCACTCTATATGCACAATTTTCATATGCCACTAGCTTTGATATTCCCACCTACCTACATGTGTATTGATGTGGTACACCTGTGCTATAGCATGCAAATAAGTAGGTGACAACAATCCACCAATAGGAGAATGATACACACTCCTAGCACAATCTTTACTCCCAATTTTCACCTCGAAATTAGGGACCAAAGAAGCACTGAAAATGGGAAGGAAGGGTGGGAAGTGTGAGAAGTGGTAAGTATCTATAGGAAATACATTTTCAGTGTAAGAAAATGTTAAATTCTGAAACAATACCTTACCTCTTCTCACATAATAGCTAGAGTCCCACACTGACCTGGTGAAGGGACCAGTGCAAAAATTCCTAGAAGAGCACTTTTCAGAATGCATCTGAAGATAACCCTAGGAATGTGACTCCTCTATAAAGACAAAACACCCACATGGAAGACTGCACCACATCTGAGCCAGGTATACTCACTGTCAGTGCATATTCTGAATGTGTCACCAAATGGGTAGAAAGAGGTACATCTGAGAAGCACACAGTTGGACCAGTGGTGTAGAGTGCTAGGGCACATCAGATCATAATCAGTGGGTCAACTCTAGTTCAAAACCAGCAGCACTGGAAATGGAACAACCAGCTCCAACCAACACCAGCACACCTGGGAACTGACATCCAGGCAGCAATAGGAAAGAGGGTTCCCAACCAGAAGGAGGAACTGCATAAGGTGAAGTCATCCAGTCCAACACCAATAAGCATCTGGAATTGTACATCAGGTCTGCAGTAGGAGGAGAGTACACACCATCTACACTGGCAGAACACCACTGCCCTACTCTCATTTGAGTAGGAAGGGTCCCTCCCAGGAGGAAGCCTCCATGGTTCACCATCCAGTAGCCAGGAGCTAGTAAGTGGCAAGGACTCCTGAACTCCACTGGAAGAAGGAAAAATGCATTGGGGAGCCCAGAGAAACACAACACCAAAGAAAGTGCAATGGGTGATTGCAAAACCCTATTTTGAAAAGCAAGCCGAACTATAAGTATCTATCCAGGAATGGAGGGATGGACAGCAATCTCTTCTGTGCTACTACATGAGTGTTCAATCTGGAATGGGCATAATTATGATGCATCACACCACAAGAAAGATCCAACAAGTGGTGTTGTGGAACACCATAACACAACAGTGGGTGTTATAGACCTTAAAGGCTGTACAGTGTAGATTTAAGTATTAACATAACTAGATAGGCACTACTCACCACAGAGCAGGATCCAACAAGAAGTGAAAATAGACCACTGCAAAGTAAAAGGATAAGAAAAGGAAACATACCCACTCACAAGGAAGGAAATAAAACCTGATGGAGAAGGAGACAGCTAGATGATGAAGATAATGCAAAAGGAAAGTGTTAGGAGTTGTCTACATACCAGCCCAGAATATCTCCTCTAATGGATGATGAAAACGAGTAGCCAGGAACATGGTCAGATGGCATATCTGGTAAGAGGAAACATGGAAAAGGCATCAGAGCAGAGACATGAATACACCAAATGAATAGGTTGGTGAATCCAACTAGTAAGTGTAATCAAGGAAAGATCTCTGAATAGGGAAAGATTCCAGTGGATAAAAAGATGGGAAATGGAACCATGGAAGGAAGCTCTGCATGCCACATAACACAAGAGAGCCAGGATGGGACACAGGAGGCACTCCAGCTTGGAACAAGAGTACAAATGTGAGATAGAAGATAGGAAAATTGGAGTGAAGGCAAAAGTATGCTCCCAAGCAGCAGAGGTCTTGGGAAAGAAGGAGTCATCCAGACAGAGAATGACATAAGTGGCGTGGTGGAGGATACAAGAGATATTGAGAGCAAATACATCAGACCAACAATGCCCTTAGGCTAAAAGGAGAAAATATGCCTACAAGGAAAGGTGGTAGAGGGAACAGGAAGACAACAGGGAAAGTAAGGGCATTTAGGACAACAATTAGGATTCCAATCCAGCAAGGGAGTGGATTGGAGAGAACAAAGGAATTGAAATGAATGAAATAAAAAGGAAGAGAATTGGAGAGGAAAAACATGGCAGAAATGGGAAAAACAAAAAGTAGTGGACAACACCATCCTTAATCCGGCAATGATCGACAAGGAAAGACCATTATTGAATAACCAAGTGAAAAAGTCCAAAATGCGAGAAACAGTGGGATGGGAGGGATGGGTAGGCCTAGACTAAGAGACCAACATTGAAAACTATGCCACTTACTCTGATAAATGGACAAGAAAGAAGGGCAAACAGAACGGAAAATATGGAATGCTACTTCCATTGGTTACGTGTGGATTGGCAGAGCTTAATAAGACAACTTGTCACCAAAGAATGGGCAAGGGAGCTGAAGGAGAGGGAAGGTTGAGATAGACAAGTGGCTAGGAAGGGCAGGGAATGATGCAGGTGAGCTTACTCTACATGAGACTTCAAAGAATCAGGAAGACCCCCAAAAAATAGACTGATGCAAAAAGGGAGCCATACATAACTTCTGCAAAATGGGCCAAAAGTGCATCCCTACCTAAAATATCCCAAAAACAAAGGAGCCAGATGTGTAGGTAAAAGGCCAATGAAGCCAATCACACCAATGAGGTGAAAAGGAGGAAATGGGCAACAACCAAAAACCCCTCAGGGGAACATTGAATGGCCTCAAACAAGAGGTAAATGGAGGAGAGGCAAGGGTTAAACAAAGATGGGAGAACTGAGCCTGAGAAAAATTAACTGAGATATTGGGGTCCAAGTCTCAAACAGGAATCAAAGAATCCAACTGCTAAGAGTCAAGGAAGGGATTCTCAGAACAATGATAAGCCAATGCATGCTGACTAGCTCTGCATCTGTTGTTTTGATTATGTCTGATAGATGGAATATAACTGCAGACATTTGCACTTTAAAATGATACCTTTTGTACAAACAGTATAATTTTACAATGTTATATTAGAACTCTGTTACCTTGTGCACTTACTTGTTGCTGTGTACATCTACATGTATAATAAATAAATTGTAGGTTACATTATAATTTCGTCAGGGCTATACAGTGCTGAGTGATAGCCTGTACGCTTTTGATGTAACACAGTTTATTTAAAATTTTTTATAT